AATCATTTATAATTTTTTTAATTTTAATTACACTATTTAAATATTTTAATCTTAATATATAATTATTTAACTAATATATTTTTTAATTATTCACTATTTATATTTAATTTAAGCAAATATTTGAATATTATCAAAACAAAAATAATAATAATAAGTAAAAAACAAAATAGGAAGACAGAACAATACAAACCAAACAGTATTGGTACAATTGCATGGAAATAATTTCACCCCAAATATTTGAATTATGAAAGTGGTGCCCAAAATAGGAAAACACAAATAAATACTATAAATAAAGAAAATAAGTTTATTACTCTCTCTCTTATCTATTTTTTTTATTTTTGTTCGTCCCACATAATTTGTCTTTTTTTATAAAATATAATTATACACTTTAATCATATTTTAAAATTCATAAATATATATTTTTATTTAAATTAAACTATTTATTTATCTTAATCTTAATCTATAATTATTTTATTAAATCATAATTGTTGTCACTAATATATACTTTTTAATTATTTACTAATTATATAATATCTAAATTTTCGTACTTAAATTAAAGAGGACAAATTAGCTGAGACGAAAATAATATTATTATTATTTTTATTATTTTAATTTATAAGAAAGTGTGAGAAAAAAAAAAACCAAAAAAACCAAAAAAATGAAATTGAAATTGTCCCATGTGAGAGGGACAGAGGCAAATGAATACAAAGTTACAGTACAGATTGAATAATTGAAGTGGGCTGAGCCTGAGTGTCCTGTTTTTTGTGGGCCCCTCTCACCACCATACATCCATCACATGTCACTCTCACTTTCAATCCAATAATATTCATATTACATTTTTTTTAATTTTTATTATTCATATTACATTTGTGTTTGTCTGGGGGTTTTGATTTTGGATTGGGATTTGAATAGTAAAAATTTTGAATTTGAATAGTTGTATGATGTGATATAAATAGGGTTTGATGTGATGTTTTGAATGTAAAATTGATTTTTAGTATAATATAAAAAATGAAAAATAGGTGTTTGATTTGATGTTTTTGGGGGGAAAAAATTGGATGAATAGTGGAAATCCTCCAAAATCCTTCAAACAAACACACCCTAACTGTATTTATATTTTATTTAAATTTTTTAATCTATAATAATAAATTCATATTACATTGAACGAATAAAGTACTATTCTCTCCATTTCGTAAATATAGTCTTAATTGAGTTGGACACGAGATTTAAAGAAATATTGATATTATATTGATAGTTGGTAAAAAATATAGATAAATTTTTTTTTTGTCCTTGTGAGTGTATTAGTGTAAAAAATAGTGGCAATTGTGTAATAAAAATGAAAAAGTAAGGATAATTTTATAGTGATATGATTATTTATGAAAATAAGACTATTGTTTTGGAACGGACAAAAATGATAAACAAGACTATTGTATTAAGACGGAGGAAGTACTATATTTTAATAATAATTGGTGATTGTTTTGGTATATAAAAGTATTTTAAAATTAATGTGAGAAAATTGATGTAAATAAATATTAACGTGAGAATACCGAAAAAGAAAATAGCTACTTTATATTTGAATAACAAAATGTATATTAGAAATATAATATAATTTGCAATCAAATACTTTCTATTAATGTATAGATATTTTTTTTTTTTAGTAATTGTAGACTTCCTTATTAAATACAAACATTCCAATTTTATTACATATTTACCATTATAATATTAATTTTATATTCAAAAGTAATAATAAAATTATTTTTATATTATTTTTAACTGTTCATTATAATTAAAATACTATTTCATTTTGTCATGTAAACTTATGTCCATTTGACTGGACATAAATTTTTAAAAAATAGATAAAAATATATCATTTTATAGTAAAAAGTAGAAAAAAAATAATATTTTTTTTACTAAAACGAGAAACAAGAATATTTTTATATGACAACTAAAAAAGAAAAGTAGACATAAGTTTGAATGACAAATATTATTTTTTAAATTCTATTTTAAAAAATCATTATATAAATTAACATGTTGATCCGGCTAAGTCAGCATGATGCTGATTTGACTGGATCAACATATACTATAGTGGTGACCATCGTATATTTATACATATCTCAATATATTTATAATATAAAATATATTATATTAAATTTAACATATACTATTTTATATCAGACACAAATGTACTTGTTAATAATAAGTACTATAAGATTGGGGCGGAAGGAGCACTCGTGAGTTGACACGGGGACTATGGAAATTAAAAATATTGTTCTTTTACATTAATTATAATATTAGATAATACTTTTTTCGTCCGTTTTGAAAGGGACGCTTTGGGTTTTTATAATAAATTAAAAAATAATAATATTTTATTAGTTAGTATAAGTGTGCAAGAGATTTTGATATTTTTCTCCTTTAATTTTTTTATAAAGTAACTGCATGTGTAATGATATGTTTGTAATTTAAATAAAAATTAAAAATATTTTAATATGAGTATATGATTAATGTTATTAAAAAAAAAAATTGTACTTTTGAGTTGAACGGACAAAAATAATAAGTTGAATTAAGATAGAGGAAATATATTTTTTAATAAAAATATATTATTTTAATATATAATAATTACAATAATAATAATTAGGAGAGTGTAGCCAAATAGAAAAAATGTTTCCAATAAATGAGGGTAAGATGAAATAGGGAGGTTCATAAATGTACACACTATTTTCAGCAAAGCATAAATGGTCTCTCACCCTATTGCTCTTTTTGCTTGACACTTGTCTCTCTTTCTCACTCTACTCATACTCATATTCATACCAATAACATTTTTTTCCACACTTTTTTTTTTCTCTCTCTCTCTCACTCCTTTAGCTAATATACCCGTAACGAGTTGGATCGAGTCGAACTTAATTTTTTTTATTATTTTTATCTTTATATTTTAATTCGAGTCAAATTTTTATTTTTTACTTTATGCGTCTGTTTCTAAGGTCACATTTACTTTTTACGTAATTGTATTTAATATTAAAAATATCTTTATATTTGTATAAATTTTTATACAAATGTCATTCTATTAGTATTACAAGACGCTAATGAAAATATTTTTGCAATTTTTTCTTAACTTGTACTACATTTTGATATAATAATTAATATTAAAAAATCAATACGAAAAAAATAAATAAGATCCTTAGAACCGAATGGAAATTGTATTATTTTTATCTTTATTTTTCATTATATTTGAATTCGAATCGAACTTTTTTTTTTCCAACTAAAATGTGTTTAAATTAAGAATAATCTTATATAAATAGTGTGTTCTTTTATAAAATGTGGTTTAATTTTTTCATTATATAAATATAATATTTTAGATGAAAATACATAATTTTATTTAATAAATAATCACATTCAAATTACTGTTAAAACTAAAAGAATATAACAAACTTATAAAAAAAAAAAAAACTGAGTTTTGCAATAACTTAATAGTTAATACTCAACCTATTATTCAATTTTATGTTCAAATATATGAAAATACATTTTTAATGAGAATGAATAATAATTGATACAAGTTTTATAATAAAAATATAAATTATAAAAGTATATTTTTTTTGTTCCCGATAAAAGTATATATTTAAATTTTTTGTTGTAAATTAAAAATAATAGTATTTTATTGGTCAGTAAAAGTGTATTAGATAATTTTAATATTTTTATCCTCTGTATTTTATGTATATATAATGATATATTTGTAATTTATATAAAAATTTAAAATATTTTAGTATTAATACCTGATTATTTTTATCCTAATATAAAATAAATATTTTGAATTAGATAAATAAAAATGATAAAAAAAAATAATAATTTCACCTAAAACCGATGGAATACCATACTTTTTACTAAAAAGATAAAAGAATTATATTTTACGATGATAACAAAAATAAATAAATAAATAAACATCCAAAGAAAAATTATACTTTTCCCGTTGTATTTCAAAGTATCATTTTTATTATTTGCATATGTTTCATTCAAAAGTATTTTTTTTTTTATTTTAGTAAAAATAATCATTTACTAATACCAAAATATCTTTAATTTTTTTTTTAAATTACAAATATATCATTATAAATATTCGTACAATATTATAAAATTAATTAAATTGATTTATATTTGTTAAATATATTTTAAATAAGAATAATTCACTAAAATTAAATATATGCCAAACTGTTATCGGATGAATGAAATATTTTTACATATCCAAACACACATATATAATTTTATTTTTTTTTATAAATATGTTAAAATTATCTTATACACTTATATTAATTAATAAAATATTAGTATTATTTTTTTTTATATATTATAAACTTCTAAAAAAATATTGTAGAACAAGACGAAAAAAATATACTCTCTCTGTCCCATAAGTAAATATCCGTTTGTTGCACGGAGTTTAAAGTATATTAATATTATATTGATACATAGTAAGAATAAAGTAGAAACTAAAATAATCTTATTATTAGTATTATGTGATATAGAGGTAATAACGTTTGTGTAATATATTGTAAATTGTAAGAATATTTGTAATGTTAGGTAAATAGTAAATAAATAAATAAATAAATAAATAATGGACCAAAATGAAAAAAATTGAATAATTTATTATTTGTTTATTAAAAAAAGATACTCCCACAATCCTACATAATTTGTTTCTATTTTTTATTTTCGTCCGTTCCACATAATTTGTCCTTTCTATTTTTAAAAATATAATTATGCACTTTAATCGCATTTTAAATTTTAAATTTTATAAATTTTTTAATTTTAATTAAACAGGAGTAATAAATTGCTAAAACAAACGATGGTACGTTACTTACCTTTTTTACCGGAGCCAATCAAGCGAAAAGGGGATTGTCATATTGCCAATTAGTCCTTCAAATTTCCAAACTTTGCACAAGAACCCCCCTGCATATTTTTACCACAATAAATTAAATCGCCTCTTTGCTTACGTACACACAAACTTTTTCTTCTTCTTCTTCTTCTTCACTTTCACCAAATTCTCATTAAAATTCTTCAAATTACGACTGTTCCAAAATTCCCCAAACCTTCAAAAGAGCCAACACAGCAACAAAGAAGCTCAGATTCCCTTTCAATTCTCTCTCTCTCTTCTCTATCTTTGTCTGCTGCTGTTTTTTTTGCTGCTTCTGACGCCTATATAAACGCCCATACCTCCATTGCACTGATTCTCCTTCTATCTCTTCCCAATTCCAATTCCAATTCCATTTTCAATCCCCACCTTGTTTGCTTTTATAGTATTTCATTATTGTTGCTGTTTCTCTCTCTCTCTCTCTCTCTCTCTCTCTCTCTCTCTCTCTCTCTCCTTCTCACCTCTCGCAGGAAATTAGAGAAATTGAGGAAAGGATAAGAAGCAAATGTATGCAGAAGCTGGAATATCGTATCCTTACTTCCAGAGTTTTCCTCAAGAAGCTGTGCCATTCGATGACTTCTCCTGCTCGCAGAAGCTCAATTCTTCATCGGTGATTGATTAAACCCTAATTTCTCTATTTGCCGCTAAAATTTGGGGATTTTTTCGTTTTCTGCTTTTAAATGCATCATTATTGTGGCCAATTTTATTGTTATTTGGTATATTTTACTATATCTTTAGTTCCAAATCAATTGGGACGATTAGACTAAAGTTTTGGAAAATTTTGAAAAGAAAGTATAAAATTAATATTTGATTTGATATTTTATAATAAAAAAATATATTTTATATAATATTTTTTTAAAGAACATAGATAATAAATGAGTGAAAGTTAATTAGGTAAAAAAAAAAAAAGCTTTTTTTGGGGATATGGACAAATTGTTGGTTAAAAGTCCCTTTTGTTATAGCGAAAATGCTGGTTTAATTTAAGTATTAAAAAAAGAGTAATATTTGTGTAATTCTTATGTATTATTTTTTTATTAAAAAAAAATTATAAAATAAAATACTTTTTGGGGAATTTGGACATTAATAAAAAACTAAGGGTGTATTTGTTGGTTTTAGTTTTTGGATTTGAATTTTTGAATAATAAAAAGTTGAATTTGAATAGTTGTATGATGTAATATAAATAGAGGTTAGTGTGATATTTTTGGATCATAATTGTAAAAATGGTAAAACCTACAAAAAGAACACAATGTAAGGCAAAAAGACAAGTAATTTCACATTTCTTGGGGGGATTTTTTGGTTAATTCTTTTGGATGTATGGAAAGAATAATGAAAATAAATTGAATTGAATAGAATTAGATGAGCATGAAGAATGTTTGGTGTTATTCACTCAAATTAAATTTGCCAGCTGAAATATAAGGACAGAAATATGCTTTCTCTTTTTCATTTCCACATAGACAGTCTCTCTCTCTCTCTCTCTCTTGAATTCTAATTTTGTTTCTCACTCTCTAGTATTGTTCTTCTTTCTTTCTTTCTTTCTTTTTGTCAATCTTGTGATGTTAACCAGTTGTTAAAGATTCAGCACTGAAGATTTTAAAAAGGCTTAGAGGATTGATTGGCTAAAGTCTAGTGGGATTGGGATCATTATTTTCATACATCATTAATTCAACCATTTTATTTGGATTTTTATTTTTATCACATTATTAGTTTGATTTTTTATTATTATTATTATTATTAAAAATTATGCTGAGCAAATTGATCGCAATTAAATGGAACCTTTATTGGTGTTATTTTGGGGAGGCAAAGGCTCCAGGTAGGTGCTTGTAGTTTGTTTTTTTTTTTTTTTTAAATAATAATTTGATATTCGGAGATAAAATATATATTTTTAATTATAATAAATACTGGATTTTTATTATAGTGTGTGAAAGAATAATAAAAAAGCCATGAAAAGAAAGTTGAAATAGAACATTTTTTTTTTGTTTTTGCATTAATTTTACTTTACAACTATCATGATTTTTTATAAACATATGTCCCATAGGGTCTTTTGAAATTTTACATTAAATTAGAAAATAAATATTTTATTGGTAGTAAAAATTTGTCGGATAATTTTAATATTTTTGTCCTTTGTAATTGTATTTATAGTGTAATGTTTGTAAATTATTTTAAAATTAAAAAATTATTTGGTATTAGTTGTAATTTATTTTAAAGAATAAATTTAATTGGGACAAAAGGGGTATTATTTTTTCTATAAAACATTTTATATTGTTTAGATTAAAAAAAAAAATTAAAATCAAAATGCTAAACAACTTAAGAAAGAACACACCTTTGGATGTATTTGTTCGCGTGTTTTGGAGTTTAAATAATTATTTGATACGATATTTTAAATATAAATTAAATTATAATATAATATAAAAAATTAAAATTTTACTTTAGTTTATTATTTTTTTTAAATAAAAATTAATAAAATAAAAATTATTGAATAATAGAATTTGAGTCAATAATAATAATAATAATAATAATGTCCTGTGGCGTGTGGGGTGTGGGGGACATGGAAGAAGCTGTCGAGCAAACAAATTGTACTTTGTTTACTTGCCTGTATTTATTGTCTTCTGGGTTCACATATTTTTGTTTCGTCTACTACGTTGTTTGTTTGTTGTCTTTATGAAATCTAAATATGTCCTGCTGTTCTTTTTCTTTAATTAGACCTTCTACAACTCTTGGATTCCAATTAATTCGGTTCGGTTTGGATTCGACGGTTTAATTTTCAGGGCAACGTCGCCGTCGCCGCACTCGATAATAATCTCTGGGGCGGCGATCTCTTCCAGGCTCCGATCGACGACCCGATAATCAACATTGACCCGATGACGGCAGCGATCTCGATGATTTCGTGCGGGGACGACATCATATCGACGCAATCGCTGGCAGTTTCGGACATTGAATCGTCGATTGAGAGCGGACAGATCCTCAGCGAGGTGTTCTACGAATGCAGGAAGGATCTTTTAGCGAAGGAATGTAATAACGGCACGCCGCTGTCGGAAATCCCAGCCAGCGATTCGGGCAGTTGCTGTCTGAATTCGACAATTACGACGACGACGATGACGGACAGCGCCCAGGAAGCTCAGCTGAAGCCCGATTTCCTCGATTTCCCGATCCTCGACTTTAGTACGGTTTACGGGATGCGGAGAGCCTTCAGCGAAGGCGACATTCAGGTCTAATTTAGTTATAATCGATCGCATATTTTATTTATTTATTTATTTATCAAGGAATACATATCGATGAGTATTCGTTTAATCGTAATTAGCTCGTCCGATGTATCGAAGGCGATCGAACTGAGAAACGTTTAGATGTTTTCTGGTTGGCATCTTCGACAGGATAGGGCAGGGTGATTGATTCTCGGTTTTTATGACAGACTCTCGGACATTGTAGTAACGTAAGCTTCGTACAGTCGCAAATCGAGCAGCAGCAGCAGCCGGCGCCGAGGTTTATTACAAGCAGCAGCAGCTTCCCGTCCGAGGATCGGAGGGAAAAGCTGTCCAGATACCGCAGCAAGAAGTCGAAGCGGAACTTCGACCGCAAAATTAAGGTAACTAAGGGTGTGTTCTTACCTACGTTTTATGGTTAGAGTACTGACTAGAGTTAATTAACATCTCTTATTAGCCTTAATCAACGTATGAAATATTCTCCAGTCATTCAAATTTATGTCAACTTTTTTTAGTTCTTCCGAAAAAAATATAATTTTGATTTCTTTTTTAGTGAAAGAAGTACAAAATTACTACAAAAACAAAAAAATGTTTTAAATTTTGTCCATTGTTATTAGAAAATCATGCCAAACTAAATGGTCGTTATTTTCGACTATGGAGGGAGTATAATTTTACAGTACATGATTTGAATTAATACAATATATGTTCTATAGATTGTTAGTATGTGTTATTAGTTTTTGTAATGTATTTGTATTATGTTAACATATACTTCATTCGTCTCAGAAAATTGGTTTGGTTTTTTTTCATTTTCGTTTGTCTCAAAACAATTGTTCTGTAACGGTGGTTTCTAAATACAAAGAACTATCCATACTTTTATGCAATATTTATACAAATATCACTTTAATCTATTTTTTCAACTCTAGTAAGGGCAAATTAGTCATTTACATTATATTTTATACTTACTTTGAATTTAATATTATTATTCCTTAAATTACATGTCTATTCTCAATAAGACATCTCTTTTGGCATGAAAAAAGTATTTTGTATCGTCAGTTTAGACCTCATGTGTTGTATGAATAATATTTCATGTGTTGTCAGTGTAATAATCGTCATCAAATTGTATAGTAAAAAAAAAAAAAAAAAAGTAAAATTACGATGTCTTAACATTTGGGTCGATGGTTTGATTTCATTTGACGATGGATTGGTCGAATTTGCAGTATGCGTGCCGGAAGGCGTTGGCGGACAGCCAGCCGAGGATTCGGGGAAGGTTTGCGAAGACAGAAGAGACGATGGCAGCGACGACGACGGCGGAGAGCTGGAAAAAGCAATGACTCATTAGAATGTTCGTTTGTTTGTTTGTTTGTTTGTTCTTAGGAAGTAAGGAATGATTAGTTATTAAGGAAGCAATAATATTGTAATAGTAATAATTATTATGATATATTAATTATAATTATAGTTTATGGCTATGTAGTAATTAATGAATGAGTAAATAAGGATGGCTTGTACTAGTATTGCAATAAGAATAAATAATGTTGATTATTGTGTCTCTATTTATGTTTGTGTATGTATATGTAAAATGTACCTTGAAGATCTGTCTCATTTGCAATTAAATCCATGCAGTTTCTAAATTTGTCAATCTACTCCATAAGATTTTTTGTAATTTTCACTTCTCCCACTCTCTTTTTTACTTATGATCATGGCAAAAACTTTTCTCAATCTGCACTTTTTCTTCTAAACATGCTCAAAATTTGTCAATGATCTGATTTCTAGTTAACAATCTAAAAATACAGCATTAGAAGTATATATATATAAATTTCGTACAAAAAAAATTGTTCAAAACATAACAAAATATTATTATATTTATCACATATCAATCATTAAAAAAAAAAAAAAAAAAACAAATCTATATAAAAGCGCTGAAGGGAGTTAATATAATGTGTACACAATATATGTTAATGATTGGTTTTAGTATAAAATTTATATTAATTTAACACAAATACTTGTTAATAATTTATTCAAACACATTCCAACTTAAATCTACACTAAAATGGGAGTAATTGTTTTGGTGTTGTTAGCTTTACTATGATGTTTTGTTTTGTTTTTGTTTTTGTTTTTTTTATTTTATTTTATTTATTCACAGTTTAAAGCTCTTTCTAGATAAAGATTTTTTAAATTTATTTTGAGAATTAATTTTTTTTTAAATACTAAAAATTAAGTATTTCACGTAATATTGTTTATTTTATAATTAAATAATACAGAAAACATAATAATAATAATAAGAAAAGCGCCTCAATGACTTGTTAGTTATAATTAGACATTAAATTGAACACGAGTGATCAAAATAATCAATCGAAAGCCAAAAAAAAGTAAAATAAATAAACTAAGACCAAAATTACTAAAATAAAAATCATTAGCAAAAGACAAAAAAGTATTAAACTTTATTCTGTTACGAAGCAGAAATACACGTAAATGTAACAAATAGCCTAAACTTAGTACACAAAATTGGATCAATATTCATACCCATCTCTTCTTACACTCAAATCTATTTCAAAATTACCCTTTCAGGCAACACCCCGCTGTTCATCCAAACTCCACCGGCGCCGGCGCCGGAGAATTTTGTCCGTTCCCTCCAAACCACCTACCCTAACAATTTTCTTGCCCATCTCTTTGTTTCTTACACACAGATTTATATATATATATATATAATGAATTATCAGACAATTAGTTCTTACATATAGATTAATTCTCCGACGCCGGAGCACACCAGAAAACCTCCGGCGGCCCGCCGGCGGCCGTTATTCTGAATTATACGAAAACCAGAAACAGAAAATTCTTCTGCAAAAAAGAAATTCGAAAGCCATAAATACAATAATGGTCAAGAGACAGTAACATTTCAGACAACCTTAACAAAAAGCCCAAATCAATTCAGACCTCCATGGCAGCTACCTTCGTATTTGTCCGCACGCCATTCTTTCTTTCGTTTTGTAATATTGCAAGAATTGGGACTTCTGCCATTCCTAAATTCGAAGCTTTTTTTCCTTCATTTATTACTATTTTATTATATTGTCTTTGTTGTTGTTACAGGATGAGTTATTACATACACTTAGTTTGTATCTATCTATACATCCCTCTCTCTCCTCTATATATATATAAAATAACTGAGTCGTTCTTTTCTCTCTCATAGAGAAGAGTCGCAGAGAAGGTGGATTGGCGCAGAGATCCCTAACTTCGTTTAACAATTTCAATCGGACGTCGGCAATCGATTCCGCCGTCGGAATTCGATTTCGCAGCCGGAGATTCGTCTGCGCGGCGGCGATTTTGATGGCGGAGAGCTTCGGAAATCGCAATTAGGGTTTAGGGTTAAGCAAATTGGGGGAAATTGGGGAAGATGATAATCAAGCGCAACTTGAAATCGGTAATGCCGATTCTGAAACGGTCGCGCGCCAGAGACTCTACCGGCGGCGACGACGACGAGTCCTCGTCGGCGGCGAAGCGGAAGAAACGGAAAATCGCGAACGGTTACTACCCAATCCATCTCCTCGGAAAAGCCGCCGCCGGTCTAATTCCATACAATAGCTACGGAATTAAGAAGCTCCTCTCAATCTCCGCCGCCGGAGAAATTGAGCGCGGCGGCGAGGCGTCGGAGTCGAGGTCGAAGCCTGAGGAGGCGGCGAAGGAAGTACCGCGGCCGCCGCTGGTCAGAACTTCGCGGGGAAGAGTTCAGGTACTGCCGTCGCGATTCAATGATTCGATTCTCGATAATTGGAAGAAAGAGAAGAGCGTAATGAAAAATCCAGAGAAGGATAAGGACTCCGACATGGACGCAGAGTACATTCCGATTAAGGTCAAGGACAAGAAAGCACAGAGAATTAGGAAAAGGAATTCGGACAAGACGACTAAGTTCTCGCCATTGTCGGAGGATGAAATAGCAGAGCTTAGGGAAGGGTTGAGGAGCTGCGACAGCAAGAAGAAGCACAAAGCTTCTCGAAACTTCGACGACATCGACGGCGATGAGCTCGACGACCACATTCGAATCCTCGGGGTCGATAGACTGTACAGCTGCAATGATTTCGGAGAAGGCGATGTAGTGTGGGCTATATCGGCGAGGAATTGTCCGGCGTGGCCAGCGATCGTGCTTAACCAAGACTCGCAAGTTCCATTACAGGTTTACAATTTCAGAGTCGCCGGAACTGTCTGTGTAATGTTCTTTGGTTACTCCGGCAACGGCACTCAGAGGGTAAAAATTTCGAAATTGCTTTAGCTATATTCTATTGTTTTTGATATGTTTACGACGAATTTAAATTTTGAAGTACTTATTTCGACTATGATTTGATAGGATTATGCGTGGATTAGAACCGGGATGATCTTCCCTTTCGTCGATTATGTAGACAGGTATTTTTAGAACTTTTGGCACTATTCATTATTGACGATAATTTTTTTTTTCAAAAAATCACATCTAATAGGGTCGTTTATACAGAAACTTTTGAAGTTTTGGTAATGATTGGTATAGGTATTTGATTGGATGTTTACGAAAAAAGTTGCTTTTGAAGAATAGTATCGAAAGTTTCAAAAGTATCTATGTAAAGAGAGGCCGATTTTTTACTATATATTCAAAAGATTTTTCAAAATTCCAAAATTTCTGTTAAATTTGTTGGTTTAGGTTTCAGGGACAGACGGAATTGAAGGACAGTGAGCCCGGTGTTCTTCGGTCGGCGATAGAGGAAGCATTTTTAGCCGAAAATGGCTTCAACGAAATGTTGATGGTTGAAATAAATGCGGCTGCTGGTAACTTGGAATATCTCCGTTCGTTTACGCGAGGTGTTCTTGAAGATTCTGATGCAAATCAAGATCAATGTAGCAATTTTGTAGAACAGGCGAGTTTTATATCACCGATCAAAAAATGCATTTGGTTACATTAAAAGCATAATTTATTGATTGATGAAAGAATATACGATTATGTTGATCAGGATATACACGTGACGGAAGGACTACAAACGTGCGAAGCCTGCGGGCAGAGTATCGAGCCTAATTGGTCGAGGAAAATGAATAATTCAGCTGCACGTACCAATCGTTTGTGCTCGGCTTGCGCCAGGGTTTGTGAATGTTCTTTATTCATTTTCTCATGTCGTCGTTTTCGGAAATTTCTTCAACTTGTTAATGATGTGTTGTTTGTTTCAGCTGAAAAAAATTAAACACTTTTGCGGCATTTGTAAAAAGATTAGGAATCAATCAGACAATGGAACTTGGGTAAGCATACGGATTGTTTGGCATATGGTCGTGGTTTATTCGACTGGTAATCTTATACCAATTTGTCGTTTCGCTAAAATTTTTAGGTGCGGTGTAATGGCTGCAAAGTTTGGGTCCATGCCGAATGTGACAAATTTTCTAAAATCAAGATCAAGGTTGTTTCTTTTGTGAATATATACACAGACTATATATCTTTATGTAAATTGGGGTTTTGACTATCGAGAAATCGTGTTTGCTTGTATTCTAGGATTTGGGAACGGAGGACTATTACTGCCCCGAGTGCAAAGCTAGGTTTAATTTCGAATTATCCGATTCAGAAACTTTCCCGGTTAAAGCGAAGTAAGTTATACATCGAATATATCATCGCCGGAATCGGTTGTAGCTTATAACTAATATGATTCCGAATGCAGAAATTGCAAAATGAACGGAAAATTTGTGTTGCCGGATAAGGTCTCCGTCGTTTGCTCTGGTGTGGAGGGAATTTACATCCCGAGTCTTCATTTGTAAGAATTGATCATTCTAGAAATGTCGTCGTTTGCGATTGAATGTTCGGTTAGAAGCAATTTCATGTTTTTCACTTTTTGCAGAGTTATTTGTAAATGCGGATCGTGTGGAATGGAAAAGCAAGCCCTTAGTGAATGGGAGCGGCACACGGGCTCCCGAACGAAAAACTGGAAAACGAGCGTCAGGGTGAAAGGTTCCTTAATGTCTCTCGAACAATGGGTCAGTTCTCGAACGCATTTAGATATGTTTTGAAAGTGGTTTGGAGTTGTCGCAGAATAGTTATTTGATGTGATATAAATAATTACATAATGTGTTAATGTTGTATTGATGAATAGTGCAAAAATGATTTGAAAATATAGGTAAACAGAGCCTAGTTTTTTCGATTTTAGGGTAATTTTCGACCAATCGAAGATGTTTTACCTTATTTTTCTACTTGTCTTTTCTCCTAACAGATGCTGCAGATGGCAGAGCATCACGAACGGAGTCTTGTTCCAGTGAAATCCGTCAAACGTCGCTCTCTCAAAGAACGGAAACAGAAATTGCTTAATTTCCTTCAAGGTTCTCTCCTAAGTATATGGTTTTCAGTATTGCCGTGCACGGATTATAAAAATTAACTCTGCTGTTGTTTTATTGCAATAGAACAATATGAGCCGGTTTACGCCAAGTGGACGACGGAGAGATGTGCGGTATGTCGCTGGGTCGAAGATTGGGACTTCAACAAAATTATTATTTGCATTAGGTAATTTCAAACTTACCTTGAAGTAGTAGTACTAGTAGTATTAATACAATGAATGTGATGTTTTGAACGTAAAAAAATATGGTGGTTTTCCGCTGTTTTTCTCAGATGTCAAATTGCCGTTCATCAAGAATGCTACGGTGCAAGAAATGTTCGCGATTTCACTTCGTGGGTTTGTAGGGCGTGCGAAACGCCCGACATTGAACGGGAGTGTTGCCTATGTCCTGTCAAAGGTATAATGATCGAGGAATAAATTTACTGTCTTGTTCCATTACGGATTCCTTGTTCTATGAAGTTGAATTATTGTTAGATAATCGAATTTGATAGATAGGTGAAGAAATGAAGAAAAAATAGGTATTTAATGTTATATATTTTGAAAAAATAGCGTTAGCTGATGAATAGTGTTAAAAGTGATATTGTGTCGGATGTTTAGGGGGCGCTTTGAAGCCTACGAACGTTGCGCCGTTATGGGTTCATGTTACGTGTGCTTGGTTTCAACCCGAAGTTTCTTTTGCGAGTGACGAAAAGATGGAACCGGCGCTCGGAATATTGAGAATCCCATCTAGCTCGTTTGTAAAGGTAATTATCTCGTTTTATTTTGTCGCCGCTAATTAGGTATATTATTCGACTTGTTTCGATATTTCAGATTTGTGTGGTGTGCAAACAAATTCATGGTTCCTGCACACAATGCTGCAAGTGTTCGACATATTATCACGCAATGTGCGCGTCGAGAGCCGGATACCGTATGGAGGTCAGACGACAGCTTGTGGTTTACGATTTCATCGTTTATTCGAAATTCTTAACATGTTGTCGAAACTGCAGTTGCATTGCCTGGAAAAGAACGGGAAACAAATTACGAAAATGGTTTCGTACTGCGCCTATCACCGGTACTGATCCGCACTGCTTTATTACACTTTGTCTTTCATTCGAAGGTATAAATGAAAATGATCGTAAATATCGTACAGGGCCCCAAATCCGGACACGGTTCTGATCATGGAGACGCCGAAGGGGACTATCTTGGCTAAAAGCCTTATCCAAAGCAAACGCCACACGGGCGCGAGGCTAATCTCGACTAACCGGTTGAAGCTCGAGGAACCGCCTGTCGATGCAGATGAAGTCGATCCGTTCTCCGCTGCTAGATGCCGTCCCTTCAAAAGAACGAAACAGGTTCGTAAAATGTACTATCATCTTGCCGTATGAATCGTATTTGATTATAGAGATGGAAAGGGTTAGGAAATACGATTTGTTCTTGATTGCGTCGTAGATTGGAAAAGAAGCCGTCGTGCACCAGATCATGGGACCTCGGCATCATTCCATGGGCAGAATACAAAGCTTGAATATAAATCGGGTACGCCCACGCCCTTTTAATCTGTTTAGGGCGTGTTTGTTTGGGGATTGGATTTCTAATTCACTATTCATCCTATTTTTTTCCTCCTAAAAACATCAAATCAAACACCTATTTTTTATTTTTTATATTATACTAAAAATTAATTGTACATTCAAAACATCACATCACCACCTATTTATATCACATCATACAACTATTCAAATACAAAATTTTTACTATTCAAATACAAAATTTTTACTATTCAAATCCCAACTCAAAATCCAAACCCCCAAACAAACACACCCTTAGATTATCCATGTCTTCGAGTAAGTCGCTTACGCCTTTCCTGTCTGAAACAGAAGTTAGAAAAGCCGAAGGACTTCTCCACGTTTAGAGAACGGCTTCATCATTTGCAGGTAATATCTGTTCGGCGCTATTGATTTCTGCTGCTTAACTTAATCGCTCACCTTGTCAACGCTTTTCTGCTAATCCAGAGAACCGAAAAGGACAAAGTCTGCTTTGGCAGATCTGCAATACACGGATGGGGCCTGTTCGCCCGGCGAAACATCCTGGAAGGAGAAATGGTACGCAAATTATTTATCGATCAATAGAACTAATTTCAGCACATATAATCGTACACACATCATATACTACTATTGATTTCTTTATTCGATCAGGTTGTTGAGTACCGTGGCGAGCAGGTTAGGCGCAGTGTTGCGGATCTTAGAGAGGTGCGCTATCGATTGGAGGGGAAAGATTGCTACGTAAGATCATTTTCCTACGAAATTCCATTCTACTGGACCCCAATCTGTTCGTCTACTCTAAAATTCTCTAACTTTCCTACTCAGCTATTCAAAATCAGCGAGGAAGTTGTTGTAGATGCTACAGATGCTGGAAACATTGCTCGGCTGATCAACCATTCCGTAAGTAATGTTGATACGAATGCCAGCGAGATATTTTTAAACTAAAAAATCTTGGTTTTTTTTTTTTCCAGTGTATGCCCAACTGCTATGCGAGGATCATGAGCGTAGGTGACGATGAAAGTCGGATCGTACTCATCGCCAAGACTAATGTGCCTGCCGGGGATGAACTAACGTACAATCTCTCTCTCACTTTCTTTCTCCCTACGGCTAACATATTCGACTAAATGTCATCAAATCTGGGCTAACCCGATATCTAACCAATCGGTCGGGCGCGCAGGTACGACTATTTGTTCGATCCGGATGAGCCAGATGAATTCAAAGTACCCTGTCTATGTAAAGCTCCGACCTGTCGAAAATTCATGAACTAGACGAGGGAGCGCGGCTACGATCCCACGAGATGTCGAGAACATATGTTTCTTCAACAAAGGAATAGATTCTTCATTGTGAGTTCTAACACAGTTAGGTCACACTGACTTAGGACACTGTAAGTCATTCACTAGGGAAGGAAGAAGATGGTTGTTATTCATTAGGAAAGGAATATATACATATATATATATGTTCTTCCCCTTTGCCTCTTCGTTGGCCTCATCATCTATCACCACGATATTTATAGTGGCAGAAAGTAACAGACAGTATAGAGTTTCAGGCATTCTGTATAAATCAAACATACAGACGAAGTTTCTGATTCGAAAATGTAAGACACGATGTACTTCAGAAAGCCCTAATTTCATCTAACTAGTTCGTTTCATTGTTAACATCTTCTCTAAATTGCTCAGAATTGCCATTTTCTATGTTAATTATAATAATTGCAGCTTCAATTGCAGGTCTTTGTAAACAAACACCAGTAAAATTAACAGTAACGATGGTGATGGTGGCATAGTGTCAACAATTTCGCAGTTCATCGTCAAGAGTACCAAAAGTTCCAGTAAATCAAAAATTACCTCGCCGTAGTTCAGGTCATCCTCTGATCGCCGGAGAAGCCTTCATCCGCCGCCGCCGTCACTCAATTAAGCCTTGCCTTCTCGGCTAGTAACTTCCATCCATTAAGATCCACAACCTTCTCCATTCAAAAATCAGATTCAGATTGAATTCTATGTATCTTCCGATCGGAAGGAATCTTCAGCAGATTTTGCTACGCACAGTTTAATTCTGCATCTCTTAAAATTTCGACAACTCGTTCTATAATTTAAGGGTGAAAAGTAAAACACAGTAAAGCATCAAATTTATCTTTGGGGGGAATTAGCCTACAGTTAAGGCGCGTACGGTGCGTGCAGTTTGAATAGAGGTTCAAGTAGCTATAAAAGGACAAAAAAGATATTTCACAAATGGCGGACGCATTCTTGCGAGCGACTCATGTCACAACGCTCCAGCCTCTTACTTGCACGCAATATTCACGTTCTTCGTCGCTATTAATTCCACTCTTCTTCTATGGTGATTAATCCAGCCTCTCGTCGTCCTCTCCGTTCCGGTAAGTCGCTGGTGAGTTTTATTTCATGGAATCACCGATCAATTCAAGGAAATAATTACAGCAGATTTTCCGATGTTTTTTACTGGATGTAATTGATTAATTTCAGTAATATAAACTTGTTTTGTAGTGATTTTGTGGTAGTATCTGTGGATTTATGGAGTTGATGATGTTTGCTCGGTTTGACTTTGACATTGAGCTACAGTTGGAAGTTTTTGCGAATTTCATTTCTCTTACTTATGTGTGTGTGCTGTTACGCAGAGAAAACAAATCGATCGAGTGCGTCGATCCTGTTCAGATTGTGATGGCGTTATGTCTTGGAGTAAGATCGAGGTCGTTGTATGATTTCGCCGGAACGCCAAATTTGAAAGCGGTGAATCGCAGCAATTCGTCGATCAGACTAGGAAATTTACATTTGGTTGCAGGAGGTAGTTGCATTAGAAACCATAGCAGTATCATCAAGTGCTTAGCTTCGAGGGAAAATGTTAGTGAATTAGAATCTGTGGAGAATGCTGGTGTGAGTTACTGGGAGGAAGATGATGATGATGATTTTAGCCATGTGATAAAGTTTAAGATGTCCGACTTTAAGATTCATGATCGTGTTAGCATTGGCCTCAAAGATAGGGTATGTGAAAATTTATATGATCGATGGCGGCACCATTACTGTTATGGTAATATACTTGGTCTGAGTTGTGATGCAGGGTGATGAGCTAGTTTATGAAGCCACTGTGAAGGAAGCTAATAGGTTTGTTTCGATAATAGGTTCAGTTTGCTGTCTGTTAGTGACACAATCGATGTGATTTACAAGTTATAATGCTAGTTTCTTTCTAGATAATGCAGTCCATTGTTTAACACAAGGGTTGTGCTCCGGCAACTAATAAGTCCTCGGGCTAAACGAAGGGGGAAAAGGGCAATTGAGGTATGATGCTGTGGTAATGTTCTTGTCGGGGATCTTTATCATACTTAACTGTCTTCTTATTGCATCCTTGTTCTAGGTTTTGAAAAGATTATCGCGCCAGAGGCTAATGTACCATTCTTATTCAATGCAAGTACATGGGTATGTTTGCTCTCCCACAACCAGCGACAGTGGTTCGTTTGTTCTAGTCCACGGCGTAAGTTGCTTTCTCTGGAATTTTTATTTATTTATTTATTTCTTTGGATGAGTTGATTATTGATGATTAAGTTCTCTGCATTTTTTAAAATGCAGTATCATGGTAGTTATTCCTTGAGACACTGGTTTCAACAATCAGATTGGCTTCCAACTCTGGAAGCTACTCTTGCTTTGGATGAGGAATCTGTCAGGAAAGTTGGGGATGATACTGTAGGGGGTCCTGCAGTTTCGCGCCAGCTGCGCCTTATTCGAATTTTAATGCGAGATCTGTTGATTGGAGTATGATCTTTTTCTTTTTTTTGAATAGGAATTTATCCTTTTCTGTGCCATAAGGATTGATAATTCATGGAGTTTGTAATCTTTTGTGCTTGTTCCAGGTGAATTATTTACATAGCCATGGACTTGCACATACAGAATTGAGGCTTGAAAATTTGCATATTAGCCCTGTGGACAGGCATATCAAAGTTAGTATAACTATTTCGCCATTTTCGTAATTTTTAAACCGAGTTTCTTGAATTACATAATATTTTTGTTTTTTTTCTACATTTCATCGCAGAGATGGAGAACCTAAGACTGATATTGAATCACCCATTATTGGTGCTATTGTATTCAGACAGTCGAATTGTCTAGTTAACAGGGTTTAATATGCTATAAATTTTCTCGTGTACAGTTTCATCGTTCTCCGGTGCTAGTCCTTTGTTCTTATCCTTGTCTCTGCTTATCTTAGGTTGGGATATTGGGAAGTGCTGCCGATCTTCATGATTGCAGTCCAGAAGACAACAAATTGGAAAACTACTTCGATAGGCGAAAGATGATGATTGCATTCGACATGAGGTATCTTTGCTCCATCATATTAGTCCTCGTAACCTTTATTTATACCTAGCCTTAGAATGAACTTCATACTCGTTCAATTGCATTTTCCAGATGTGTAGGATATATCATGTCTAAAATGGTCCTGAGAGACCTCATGGATCCGACAATTTTTGCCAAGTTCAAAGCATTCCTCTCCAAGGTAATTTCTTCTTCATCATCCACATCGATCAGTTTCCTGAATCAATACCTCCAAGCTGAATGTCATATCCTTCATTTTTCTTTCAGGGAAATGACCCTTCATGCTTGCGGGAGTTTTTGATGCTTATTATTGGTCGAAACTCTTCTCCCGAAAATTTGGGATTTCAAGTAAGTGTATATTTTTCTTTCCCCATAGTTATGCCGATAGAGCAAGATTCATTGATTAATACGTTCTTGTAGATACTTGATAAGAACTGGGGGGCTGGTTGGAACTTGCTCTCTTTACTTCTTGCAACAAAACCCTCACAGAGAATAAGGTAGATGAGTTTTCCTACTTATGGTTAGATCTCACAATCGAAATGAACAAAAATAAAAATGAAATACAAAGATCATATATTAATGCTAGAATTTTTACTATATTAACATACAATTTTGTGATGGAATCAAATATAATATCGTTGTTATCATCTTCAACTCTTTTAATTTAACGAACTCAAATTATCTACTTCCACAGTTGCTTAGAAGCTTTGAGGCATCCATTCCTCTGCGGACCAAGATGGCGTGTCGACCCGAAAATGGACATGATCAGATGGAGCTTGGGTTCAACTGCTGTCCGAATCACCGAAGAATACATTTACGGAAGGCAGCAGGTATTGCGTGAATTTTCCTCGTCAAACTCTCAACTGTAATTATCTAAAAACAACTTGTTTTAGCTTCCGGGATTTGAAATGTCGCGGTTGAAGAATGCTGATCAGATTTCTTCGATAATACAGTTTTACCAATCCCTCTTCATTTGTTTCTTCAGCGACGAAGAATTGCACACTTCATCGAGCTAATGGAAATGTTGAATCCTTATTCCAAGCCGAAGGTAAATACATTATAACCGAAGATTTCAAGATAAGAAATGCATAATTTTGGTATTTATATTGTCTTGCGTTATTCAGCATTGGGTAGAACTGCTCCCCGGCAACTGGCGCCTTCTATACAGCACAGGCCAACAAATCGGGCTGACCCTCCGACAGCCGTCAACCCGAGTCCTCATCCGCGACGTCCGCTTAAAAATATCGAAACTCGCAAAGCCCCACGCGACGTTCTCCATAGAATCCGACGTCAGCTTCCGGGTCATGCAAGGTCGAGATTGGGCGCACGACAAAGCTGGAACCGAAGGAAAACTCCACGTCGAATCCCTCTTCAAGCTACGAGCCGGGAGGCGACTGTACATCAAGGAAGAAGAAGCCGCCCCGAAGATTCGATCAACGACCACGCCGGATGTTCGGGACTCGGTGATGGCGAAGCTATCCAGCAAGAAATGGAGGAAGATCGTTCCGATCAAGGAATTCCCGTCGACTCTTCCGGTGGCTAAACTTGCGGCGGCGAGCGACGTGGAGATTAGTATGAGGTTGGAGGAGCCGCTGAGCCGGGAAGTCGAGACGGCGAGAGGAGTCATTCGTGAAGCGATGCTGCAGCTTCCGCCGGAGCTTTTCGACGTGTCGAAAATCGTTTGCGGGACGTACGTTGATTCGAGGTTAGTTGTGCTTAGAAGCGTAAATGGGTCTGCCCTTTTGCTCGCTAGATCGTTTGTAAATGAAGTTGGTAGTAGTTAGGCCTTAGCCCCTTCTTACACTTGCATTGCGTCGCTAAATTAAACAGTTGTACTAAGTAGTAATAATACCAATTGTTTGCACGCACACCCGCACACACCCGCACCTATTAGCCCTTATTTTTGTTTTCTTCTCTGGTTTTTTTTAACGTGTAAATCTGCGCCTGCTACAGGTAAATTCATGCAAACTTGATACCCTGCATAGTAGACACGATATATATTTAATTTTATATATTATAATTATACTATTATTGAACCCATTCGGAAAAATTGAATTCAATTTTCAGGTGTAGGACTCTAGATTTAGGGTTTTTAAAAAATGGGTTCTGAAATACCCTAATCGTCTACAGAGCGTTGACTTGCTCCCCAGATAATCAATCTACTTCTTAATTACACTCTAGTTGAGTCTTTGAAGTACTTTGGGATTATATCCCACTCCTTATAGAGATTTGTTAAATCCTTATGCATTTTTTTAATTGTTCAGTCAAAATATCTCTATTTTTTACTTTTCACCTTACTTTTCAAAAGTAAAATAGACATTATATTATATTATTATACTATGTATCTATAAAATATACACAAGTAAAACTCAAAAAAAAAAAACAAAAAACGAAGAAGTATATTAAACTATTCAAAAGAAAATGACAACAAATGTAAAATATACTCCTTCCATTCCTGTTGTCGGCACGAGTTATATTTGAAGATGTTCTAAAATACTTATAATTTTACTACTTTGTACAAAGTTTTTTCTTCTTTCATATTTATCAATACAATTTATAAAATTACTATAAACAAAAAAATAAAAACAAGATAGTCCAAAAACATATATATATATCAAAATTATATGACTTGAAAAATAGTGCCGCAACATAAATTGAAATTGAAACGGAGGTAATAGCACAAATTTAAATCTAATAATTAATTAATAGTATTATAGTAATGCATAAGTATCAGCTAATCATTTTAATAATCAACAAAAAAGTAAAAAGCACGGTAAACTAAACAAGGTGAAGATGACATACCAAATTGATTGGTGTGTTTGTTTGGGGGTTTAAATTTTGAGTTGAGATTTAAATACTAACAATAGTTGAATTTGAATATAAAATTGATTTTTAATATAATATAAAAAATAAAAAATAGGTGTTTAATTTGATATTTTTTTGAGAAAAAAATTAAAATTAACAGTGAAAATCTACACAAATTCTTCAAACAAACACACTGAGTATCATCTTAATTCATATAAACTTATACTATTTGATGTTTATTTATAAATTAATAACATTAGATGAACAATGTCAATAATTCTCTCTCTCTCTCTCTCTCTCTCTCTCTATATATATATATATATATCAATATAATAAGTGTAATTATTTAACCACGTACAAAAGTTTGAAACATATACTTCAACCCAAAAGGCAACTCAAGGCAACTCACCAACTTGTAATCCATCAATATTATTTTTTATCATTAATTCCTATATAAATAATAAGACATATTTTGTCCTTAGACCACGTACAAATAACTGATTGTTATTACGCTGAATTTTATAATATCAAATCTAGCATACTTAAAGTGTTTTGATTTATTTGAAATATTTTGCACAATATATATTAAATACAATATATTTCAAAAAATTGATATAATTAGCATAAAATATATTCTTTCTGTCTAAATTCAAATATCATTTTTACCATTTTCGTTCGTTTCATTTTAAAATATCATTTTTTTATTTTAGAACAAATAATCAATTGTTAATACTAAAATACCTTTTAATTTTTATTTAAATTATAAAGATTCTATTACACATATAATTATTTTATATCTAAATCAAATGACAAAAATATCAAAAATTCTTACACACTTCTACCAATTAATAAAATATTACTATTATTTTTTAATTTATTATAAAATTTTAAAAATCCCACTTAGTCTTATAAGAAGAGGGAGTATAATACTAAAAAAGAAAAAAGATTTAAAACATATCGTACACACATTAATTTCCCGTCGGACTTGATTTGCTAAATATTAGATTCGATCGAAAATTTACCCAATATGCATTTTCGGATAGCAGCTGCGGTTCATACGTTATTCTAAAAAAAAAAAAAATTAAATAAAGTTGAATATTCTTTGAAGTTGTAGCCAGAAAAGTGCATGAAAGGTTTAGGGTCAGTGTCAAAGAGATCAATTGTCACTGTGCATGTGCCCTTCCTCACCTTCAATCATTGCTCTGTCATATTTAATTTTAAGATCCCTTTGACTTAATTTTTTTTTTTAAATAATAACAACTTAAATATACAATATAAATTTTATAAAAAAAAATAAAAATACTTATTTCATCACCGACCATTTTTTTATTTTTGTTTATTTCACTTATTCTGACATTTAAAAAAAATTATATATTTTAATTTTATTTTAAATATTTTTATTTTAATTTAACTAATTAGTTATTTTAATTTTAATTTAAAATTATTTTTATTTACACTCATACATTTTTAAATATTTACTAATTATACATCTTTTACATTCTTATAAATTTTGGGGAAAAATTATGATATTGTCTTATTGATTATCAAAATAAGGAGTCTATGTGTATAGACAATACAAAATAAAGTCGATAAACTCAAATCTAAGTAATCTAATATATGAATAAGATCAAATCTACGTATAAATATAAAACTGAATATGTAAAATATCTCAACATTCTCCCTCAAACTCAAGTGGTATAACAGAAACCAACTTGTGTTTGATGAGAAATTTGAATATAAACGCAAAAAGAAAACATTAATAAAATTAGCAGTTAACTCTCTACCCACATGAGTAAAAAATGAGATGACTCTCCACCGAAGCAAAAAATGAGATGACTCCACCGGAGCCGAAAACAACATGACTCTACCGGAGCCGTCGAAAACAAGATGACTCTCCACCGAAGCCGAAAACGATATGACCATTGGAGCCGAAAACAGACAAATCGCAAACATCGGACAGATCAGATCTCATGCATGCAACAGATAAATAACAAACAGATGGCAGATCATAGACAGATTTTCGCCAACAAATAAACAATGAAAGATGGCAGATCGCACGCAGGCAACAGACAGGCAACGACAAATGACAGATCGCACGCAGCAACAGACAGTCAATGACAAATGGAAGATCGCACACAACAATAGATGGCAAATCGCACGCAGCAACAAACAACAACGGACATATGGCAAATCGTTTCAGATCACTCGTAGGCAACAGACAAACAGCGAAGATTTCATATTGCACACAGGCAACAGACAAGCAGCAGACATATGTCAGATCGGAGACGAGACGAGACAAATTTGCAAAAAGACAACTTGCAAAAGCATTAACTCAAAATCACAAGACCTCTGGGTACAATCCAGGTTGAATGTACCCGGAGAAATACGGGTTGGTAGGCTATATCTGCGGCATGAGAAAAATAGGAAATAGGCTGATACTATGTTAGAAATTTTGGGGGAAAATAATGAGATTGTCTTATTGATTATCAAAATAAGGAATCTATATATAGACAATACAAAATAGACTCGATATACTCAAATCTAAGTAATCTAATGTATGAATAAGATCAATCTACATATAAATATAAAACTGAATATTTAAAATACCTCAACATTGTATGTACAATAAAATGGACACAGTAACACAGACGGAGAGAATAAATATTTGAGTATGATTTTAAAAAATATACTCTCTCGATCTACACTTAATGCATCTATTTTACCATTTTAATATATTCATCTTTAATGTATTTTATTCATTTTTTCGTGATTGTGATTTTTACTTAAATAAAAAATATATGTATATTTTACACAATATTATAAAAATATATGTTAAAAAATATATATATTTACATTGTGAGTAGACGGAGGAATCATATTAATAAATAGTATTAAATTTTTTAAAATTGTAAATATAAACAAAGTCGTAATTGTTAAAAATTCTTAATTTATTTTAATTTTTTAAATTAAGGAATAAGAAATACTCGACTATTTATTTAATATTCTTTATTTATAATTATATATATTTCTATTGAAGGGAATTATTGATTATTTATTTCTGACCCTTTGGGAGCAGAAAGGACTGAGTAGACAAGTTGTGTTTTGGTTAGCCACACCATTGCTGCAATGGCCAATCATTTTTCTTCCTTTTTTTTTTTTTTACAATTAAATATATAGAGCATAAATAATTATAATAATTTTTTTACATATATTTTTAATGCAAGTATCATGTGTAACATATATACTTCCAAAGCTAACAGTAATTAGTAATGTGATCATTTTTAGAATAAAATATTTACGTGAATAAAGTAACCTAACCTCAGGTTTGTACGGAGGCTCGGAAATAAGTTGCAGGGTTAAATATGTAATTTCCTACCCCTAACACGTTAAATGCATTGCTGCGGTAGGTGTTGGAGTGTTAGATCTCACCTAACACAATTTAATAAAATGATCATTACTCAATTTAATAAAATGATCATTAATAAAAATTATTATTTATTGATTTAGTTTAAATTTCTATTATACATTAATAATATTCTTTTTTTTTAAATAATATATATATATATTGGGTTTGCTTACTTTATGTTTTTTTATTAATGTATTTTTTTTATGTTAAATATGGATAACTGTCAATTGTATTTGTAACATAAAAGTACTTATGTATTAATAAAATGGTTAATTTTTCATGAATAAATAAAATATATATTATATGGTGATAATGTATGTATTGTATTTTTTAATAATAATATTCATGAAAAAATTGTTCTTATTTAAAAATACAAACCTATTGTTTATAATAATATCAGTAGTTATATATTTTAAATACCTATAAAGAAATATTCATTTGTTTTTTCATGTAGTTTTAGAAATATTAATATTATATTGAGATATAGTAGAATAAAATAAAAATGACTAAAATAACCTTGTTAGTACGTGTGATATAAAGGTAATGATATTTGTGTAATATATTGTAAGTTGTAAAGGTATTTGTAATGTTCGGTTGATAGTACTACTATAAAAATGAAATGGATGCTTTGGGACGGACTAAAATAGAAAAATGAATACTTTGTTATGGGACGAATGAAATATTATTGAAATTGATTCTCTAACATTAAATTATATGATTCTCTGCCAACAATTTTAAAGACTAAAATTAAAAGAAAGATTCCAAAA